GTCCCAGGTCCTTTCAGGCTGCTGCCCGGCGCTGGGCTCAGAGGGAGCGTCCGAGTGAGTCCGTGCGCGGGCCCTTTAAGAGGAGCTGCTGGGGCTCCTGCAGCCTCCGCGACCCTCAGAGACAGTCCCTGCTGTTTTCACAGCCCGAAGCTGTGGGGACGTCTCTTCCCACCCTGGAGTCCTGGGCTGGGGCCTGCTGTGGGACTGGGACCCCTCACTCCTCCGGGAAACCCCCACTGCCAAGATTCCCTCCTGGGTTTCAACCCTGGCACCAGGTGTGGGCCTGCGGCGGTGTCTCCGCCCCCCCCTACTTCTCTGGACGCTCTTTCAGCTCCCTGATTTTGGGGCTTCTGTGCAGCCAAATTTCAGGAGGCTCTGAGAGATGGTGGTTCTGTATTTTAGTTGTAATTTTGATGTGGTTGCGGGAGGCGGCAGGTGCGGCTGTTACCTACGCCGCCATCTTGTTTTCCTCCATAATTTTCAATATGACCCTCCATATCCTGTTTTCTCTCATGTGAGACTCTTCTGGACAACATGAATGGGTTCCTATGTGCTCTGGCTTCTGATTAGATATGGAAATGGGGAGCCCTGGCAAGAATTAGAGAAAGGCGGAGACTAAAATTTGGGTATTTATTCCCCTGGCTCCCTGTATGTAGGTTCCATAGACTGGCTCTCTCTCTTCTGAAAGTCCTAGTCCTTCCTTGGGAGCCTGTAGGTGATTAGAGCTGCTTTGTTACTAGCCTGGGTTCTTGCATTTACTTTGTGATTGTCCTAGGCCTCATTGACAGCTTTGTAAATAGTCCACTTGTAATGAACCGTCCGTAAATTAATCTAAGTGGGTCATCTGCTTTCTGTAGACCCGTGTTGATACAATAGATGAGTTTAGGATTTTGCATTTGTAGAAAATATGAAATTAAAAGATGTATTACTTTTGGCTGCTAAGAACATATACAGTGCAGAAAACATTAATTACAAAGTTAAGAAAAACAAAATTTATAAATATTTAAAATGTATAATATAGACAAGGGGTTTATATAGTGTTTGATTTTCTACCATTTATTAGAAGGGTAAGTCCTCATTTAATGTCGTTGATAGGTTCTTTGACATTAAGAAAATGACATAAAATGAAACCAATTTTACCATGGGCTAATTGATATAAACAAGAGTAAGTTCTTGTGTTTTCTCATCACTGTTATAATGAAATGACGTTTAATGAAATGACATTATTCAAGGACCTGATGTGTTGTGTATCTATGTTGTTTTCTGAGTGATCATTGAATTGTGGTTATATGGAAGAATGCCCTGTTCTTAAGAGATATGCCTCAATATTTAGGAATGAAGTATCATGATATATGTAATTGTTAAATAGGACAGTAAAAGAAAAATGTATGTTTGTGTGTAAGAGGAGACAAAATAAATGTATCAAAATGTTAATAATTAGTGCTTCTTTGTTAAGGTATATGAGTATTCACTGCTGATACTCTTGCATCTCTTGTGTATTTGAAATTTTCAAAATAAGTTGGGGGAAACATTGAAAACAACAAAAAATTAAATACTTAATATGGATAAAGAACTTTATGAAACCAGAAAGAATCCTATAAAATGCCAGCATTTGAACAAGCAAATCACTGAAGGAGAAATACAGAAAGCCCTTAACCAAAATGATGCTTGGCTTGCATAATAAAGGAACGCAAATTTAAATAAGCTGTCAGTGTTCGTCTATTGAAGTAGCAAAGATTCAATGAAGTGGTAATGTCCAGTGCTAATGGGGATGTAACAGATTTAATGGGAAATATAGCTTGGTGCCTGCCATCTTGTGTGCAGCCTGGCAGTATTTGTGAATGCTCTAAATCTGTATGATCTTTAATCATAGCAGTTTCATTAAAGGAAATAAAGTCTACTGAAGTAATAGAAGAAGTGAGTAAGGTTATATATACAAAGCATGTACTTTGCAGCCTTGTTAGCAGTAGCAAAAGCCATTTAAGTGTCCATCAGCTGGGGTTTGGTTTTATACATAGTAGAATATTATTTAACTGTTAAACACAGAAGTTAATATGTTGATATAGAATGATATTTCTGATTGTTACAATAAAATAAAAGCAGGTTAGAGAAAAATACATATAGTACTATCCCATTTAAAGTAAATTACATATTATGGACGTAATTTTATATATATCAGTATTATAGAGGTTTTGAAAACCTGGGTGGGAGACTGTCAAAAAGGTAGGAAAGTTATAGGGGAGTGGGACTTCTTTATTCTTTCTTTTTGGATATATATATATATATATTTTTTAAAGAAATAAACATCATATAATAGAAAATGTAACACTTTTTATTTAAAAGGTTTTGCAGTCATTTTTTCTTTAAAATAATTTCATGTATGCTGCTATATTCATGTAGTCGTACTGAGTTGTAAAAAATCTGTTAAACTCATTTTGTTCTTGTATATTCTGTTTTCAGAGCAGTGGAAAGAGCTCAGTGCTAGAGAGCCTAGTGGGAAGGGACCTGCTTCCCAGAGGCACTGGTATTGTCACCCGGAGACCTCTCATACTGCAGCTAGTCCATGTTTCACCTGAAGATCAACGAAAAACAACAGGAGAAGAAAATGGTAAATTTTAGAATTGGAATAAGAAGAATTATTATTTTTGGTGGAAACTTAAAGACATGAATTGATTAGACAGTTATTAGTGGCTGTAACAGAAGTAGAAGCCCTGGGAAGAGAAGTGGTATGCATCTCTCCTCATGTAAAAGAGTAATTTTTGTTGTTTTGAGGAGGCTGAGTAAACTTGTTTGGAATATAGTACCTCTTTGGTATTCAGCTTAATAAACTGATGTTAATGCTGTTTAGTGGGGGATTTACCGAGACACTTAGCAAGCGGGAATAAGTTATTTTAAAGAAAAGCTTTTATCTTGAATGTTTCAAACATTTTTCCTAGTGTTTAGAACAATGTTTTTTCTTTTTCACTTTAATTAGAATTTAAATAATTTAGATTCTAGTTTAAAGATTTTATTTTAAATAAGATTAAAATGACTTTGCTTTTCAGCATAGCAATGTTATCTCAAACCTCCCTTTTCTGATCTTACCAATGTGCCTGCTAAGTTTGAATCTTTTGCGCTTTAATAACATGAATATTATTTTTAGAAAGTTTTGATTTTTTAAATTATCTTTTTTACTATCCTCTTGGTAAGGTTTACCTATGTAGCACATACTATTTTGATTTTTAGATCCCCTCCCCCAAATAATAAATGTGGATTACTAAGACAAGAAAATATGCACTGTCCTTTTTCATACTTCTTTGATTAAAATGAAAACATTTTAAAAAATGCTGTGCCCATCAGCAGATTTTAAATTGCTTATTAAATATGTACCCTATATTAATCATTTATATTAGTGAAGTTTAAAATGTTTGATGACAGTAATATATTTAATTTTCCTTTTTTAGTTCAGTGTTTGAAAGTCTATAAAGTAGCTCTAATTATTAAATGACACTTGTAGCAGAGCACCATGTTTGTTCATCTGCAGACATCTGGTTTCAGGGCAGTTTCATTCTGTTTTCTGTATCTGATCTAAGATGACAGTATTGATGAAATTGAAGTTACGTTAATTCTGTATCTGAATTTTTTTCCTTTTACTTATTATAGGAGCATTGGTGGTGGTAGCTTGGCTCCTGCCCACCAAGGGAAAAGAGACCTGTCATGAACATTTATAGTGACTGTAGGAAGTTAATCACTGAAGCAAGTTAATGAAGTTGCAGATGTTAACAGTAATGTTTTGGGATAGACTGCCCAAGGATATGTAGGAGCCTTTTAATTGTATTAGATATCTTCTTGATATATTATTCATTACTTTGCATTTCTATATTTTTTTAATTATTGAAATTCTGGATCTTGAGTTTAATCATTTTGCACTAATTTATGGTCTAGATTCAAATATACAGACTAACACTTTAAAATTTTATTCCCATTAACTTATTAAGTCAAATTTGCCAAATACCTTAAACTAAAACTTTAATAAACTGTATGGCGTTCATTAGATGTCTTTTAACTTTTTCTTCAGCCACCTTGAAAAGGGCAGATGACAGATAACCTGTCTCTCAGAAACTATTTGCAGATGTGGACAGTGTTTCTAGAAAAGGGTGTACATTTCAGCTATAGAAGTGTTATCTTCTCACTCTTTGCTTGTATGTCCACTATGTTTTGTTGATGTTTCTTCTTGGTGGTTGGCCAGTAAATCTGCATATCTTTACTTGTATATACATATATATTTTCCAAGCTTAGTGCTTATTTTTTTTATATAAAACCTCACTTAAAATGACAACACAGCTACCCAGAACATAAAATAGGATTTCATATATTTTGAGTACTAAATTTCATGTGTCTTATTAATAACTAGGATAGTTCCTTGTTTCTCTTCAGAGCCTCTTTATCCCCAGGATAAACAATTCTACCTAGTTATAAACCATTCTAACCCAGAGGATATTAGGAAGAATGATGCAGAGAAACATTTAGTCGGTCAGAAGAGTATGAACTACCTGACAGAGGAGAAAGCGAGGAAAACATAATCAGAAGAATGTCAAAAGAGGAGAAAAATCAGTCTCTTAACCATTTTGTACAGGGACTTATAGCCTCAGAGGGCTTTGTTATATAGCAAAGGCCAAAGCTGACAATAATAGCTTAAGTTAAGAGGAGCAATATTAAGAGGAACATTTTAGATAGAGGTCAGCAAAACTGGCTTAAATAAAATATTTTAATGTTTTAATATGTATAATTTAATTATCAGGAAAATTTACTTAACATGAGATCCTTCATTCTTCCAACTACATAGGATAAACTGAGGTGCCAGTATATAGATTTATAGTATTTTTCAGTTTGTCCCCCACTTCTGCCAATGTAAAAGAATTTTCTGATAAAATCTTAAAAAAAAAAATTAAACTGTTACAGTGGGATGGTGATTTAGTTTGAACTTTGAGTTCCATGATTATCTTTCATATATTTGTAAGAAAAAATCTTGCTTTCCTCAGATTTCCTTTTAGACAAAATCCAAAAGCATGCTGATGAAAGACCAAAATTGTTTTTGTGGTGGTCTGTTAAATTCAATATATATATTTCAAAGAACAATCCCTTATAAAGCTCAATCTTAGTGAATATATACTTGTATATATTTACTTCTCTTAAGGTTTTGAAAGATGTATTTGGTATGTTTTGTAGGTTCTTTTTGACCAGGCAATTTATTTTTTTCCATAGTCATCAAATATCTAAGGCAAATTTTTGAATAATAAATTTATTTTAATCCATTTGTGTTAGAATTAGAAACCAGAAGTGACAGAATTAGTTGTGATGGAAAATAAAAATAAATTATGGCACACAACATGCTTCATATATATCACTTAAAATATTATATGCATCCCTCTAACTAGAATTAATTGTACTGGAAATAATATAGTTGTAAAGTTTAAATAATTGAATGCTATGTGCATTTGAAATGTATTCAGGTTTCTGCACATTTTTTTAAAAAGGTTTAAAATATCAGGGATAAGCACTAAACTTATCATTCTGTGCTGTTTCTCTTTAACTACAGACCCTGCTACATGGAAAAACTCAAGACACCTTTCTAAAGGTTTCCTTTATCCATTGTTTTTGGCCCTTCTTTTCCTATTATGCCTGCATGTGTGCTTATGTACTCTTACAGGCTGCGTGCATTTTTTTTCTTCCGCTTTTATTTGCCTATTCACATTGATTGTTGCAGGTTTTAGTGGTTCTTGTTACCTTTTGGCATTTCATCAGAATGAAGGCTTTTTTTTGGTGGTGAATGTAATGTATTTTTATTTTAAAAAACATGCTTGTGAAGCCAGGCCTTTTTTTATATAAGGTAAATTCAAAACAGCACTTTGGTATGTAGTACTTGCCTCTGTGAGTTCTGTTCACCTAGATTACTCCAGTCCTTCAAAGAGACTTCTTGCAAGAAGGTACTAAGCTTCAAGTAGGTGAGCATTCTACTTGTGAAAAGGATCCAGTTTTATTTACCTTTATTCCACCAAAGAATTGATCCACTTTTTCCTCAGTAAATATTTATTTGAATATCTTACAGTCATTTTTATTTTGATTTCAGGTGGCTGATATGCATTATTCATAAACTCAGTCATTAAGACATTTAAAATTCTGAATTTGGCAAAGCAGAATAGCTGTGCTTGGGGGAGGTAAAGTTAGTTTACCTTTCTACAATTAAACATTTCTAGCTTCTCTGGGAAAAAGAAAGCAAAACTTGCTCTCTAAGTTTTAGACCACTTAATAGTCCCTACAGTGAATATATTTTCCTTTTTTCAGCAAGTGCAGGAGAAACAGACTTAGTATTGGAAACTAGTGGAGCAGAGTGACTCCATACAGTGCATATGCTAGGGTGTTCCCCTTTCCCCCCTATTTCTTTCCTACTTTCAAGCCTAGAAACATAGTCTTGGCCCTGGGGGAAAAAATTCACCTTGAAAATGCATGTAAATTACACAGTAGCTTCACACTGCTGAGAGAGCTCTTTATAGACATAACAAATTGTGACTGTATAGGTAACCAACAGGACATCAATTTAAAAAAAACAAAAACAGGTTGAGAAGTTAGCGGTTTCATTCACATATTGCAAATTTTACCGTAAGTTCTGTGTGTAAATCTATTATATATGCTTTTGGCATTACTCAGTAAAATTCTTAATTTTTCTTCTTTTAAGCCATTAGCTTAATTGAGTACTTTGCTCAGATAAACTACTTTTATATGTAAGATATTTAAAAATAAAAATATTTTACTATAATATAACATAAAATATGAAGACAAGTGAACAATTTTTTCCATGAAGTCTAGATTTCAAATGGTGGGATGACCTGTGAGCAACTCCATCTGAAATTAGTCATGTTTTTGAAATCAGTGACACAATTTTTAAAATGTGAAAGGATAATTGAGCAGATTTTAAGATACTCATGAACTTGTAGTTAGTGGCAAAATAGGAACCAGTAATAATTATGTTGTGTTTTTTAATTCCTAAATAAAGATAAAAAGTAATTTCCATAGTTTCCAATAAATGGAGCTTTTCTTTTTCCAGGAGTTGAAGCAGAGGAATGGGGTAAATTTCTTCACACCAAAAATAAGGTAATGACAAAAGAGTATCATGAAGAAATAACATGTTGAAAAATTTTTTTGTACAAGTAGTTGATAATTGAGTTTCTTATTATTGGCAGTGTGGTATGTTATTTTGAAGCAGCTGTTCCAAGTAAAAGCTTATCTTAGTAACATTTCTAATCACAGTTGTTTATTTGGAAAACACTAAGTTAAGCCCTATTCTCTTTAATTTGGAGATTTTTTTGTTGTTTTAATTTTGTTTTTAAATTACCGTTGACATCAATATTCTCTTAGTTTCAGGTGTGCAACATAGTAATTAGACATTTATATACCTTATGAAGTGATCACTAACAATCAGTCTAGTACCCACCTGGCACCATACATAGTTATTACAATATTATTGACTATATTCCCTATGCTGTTCTTTATATTCCTGTGACTATTTTTATATGGAGATTATTAACTGTTGTGGGATCACGTAGCCTTGAAAAGCTCATACAACGTTATGACTCCTTGACTCAGAAAAATATATGTATATATTAGAATTTGTATACTAATTCTCTGAAGCAGATCTGTAGACATTCTTGAAATGTATCAACCCCCCACTTAAGAACTTTTTATCTTGTTTTGAATATCATGCTTTTTTGTTTCAATAATTTTTAGCTTTACACGGATTTTGATGAAATTCGACAAGAAATTGAGAATGAAACAGAAAGAATTTCAGGAAATAATAAGGTAGGCATCTTATTAGAGTAGAAAATCTATCAGTAAATCTGTCATTCAGAGTATTTTGTATATAATATATGGTCAGCATTATAAATTCATAATCCTGGTTTTGACGCTAACGGAGTATTTTCACAAATATATTAAAACTACTTAAAATCCCTTGTTTCTTAGAGCATTTATATAGTCACATATTTCATTTAGATGTTTATTATTGATCTTGTGATGTACATACTTCTCTATTATATCATTTTTCTTTTTTTTAAAAATATATCTTTATTGATTTCAGAGAGAGGAAAGGAGAGGGAGAGAGAGAGAGAGACAGAAACATCAATGATGAGAGAGTCATTGATCGGCTGCAGCCCGCAACCCGGGCACGTGCCCTGACCGGGAATCGAACCCCGATCGCCTGGATCCTAGGTTGACGCTCAACCGCTGAGCCACGCCCGACCGGGCGATGTATATATTTTAAAGAGCTCTTTTTCTTAAAACAGAGTAAGGCTGGATTTACTTAATGCAGAGAGAGAGAGAAATTAAATATTTTTATTTCAGCGAATATGAAAAGTACAGTTGATTCTTGAACAACAGTGGGGTTAGTGGAAAATCCCGGCACTCTGCACATTTGGATTCCCAACCCATGGAGTTGACAAGTTATGAACGTTTTGTGTCTTTTTATGCTTATAAAACTTGTAAAGGGCCAGTGGTGAAGAGTCTGTGAAATAATCTTAGTATAGGGGAGAGAAAAGGTAGGTATGTCACACTATCCAGATTCTTAGTATTTGAATTCAGGGACCTGGAGATCCAGAAAATTTTTCTGAGGATTCTCTTCCAATATACACTTTTGCAACTTGATATTCAAAGACTAAGAACCAAATTGAGTTGGATAACTTGTTACCTATGCCTCACTTTCTGAGCTCAAGAATCTCATACATCTGGATAATGATACATTATCCTTTTGTTCAGTACTAAGTCTATTAAATATATTTAAGAAATGGTATCTGCTTAGAATCAAGAGAAAAGAAGGTGAATACAAGGGAAATAAATTGTTGGTATTATTGGTATAGGTTGTGATAGGATTATGTGTAATATGCTATATGCCTGGCTGCCTTACTTTCCATATGTTTCATCAGGCTTTTATTGTTGAAATGTCTTAGGGATCATGGTTTAATTCATATTTAAAAGCATCTAATGTCTACCTACTTGAAATGAGGTTTACTTTAACATTTTACTTCATTGAAATTTCAATGTGATTTTTAACATGTTTTAAAATTTATTTTTAGGGAGTAAGCCCTGAACCAATTCATCTTAAGATTTTTTCACCCAACGTTGTCAATCTGACACTTGTGGATTTGCCAGGAATGACCAAGGTAAAGAATAGCTGTTACTCATTGTGGATTTAGTCGTTTGTTTTCATTTGAACAGATATGTTTTTTCCTTAACCCCATATGAGAATAATAAGCTTTTATTTTTTCAATCAACTTAATCTATTAGCAGCATCTGGTATACTTGAGCCCTTTTTTCTCCTTGGAACACTCTTTACTTGGCTTCTAGGATACCACAGTGTACATACAGTTTTACTTCACTGGTCGCTTCTTAAAGTCTCTTTTGCTAGTTTCTTATCTTCCCAGTGTCTAAACAGTGAGTGTCCCAGAGCTCAGTTTTTGGACCTCTTGTCAAGGGGCTACACTTAGCCCCTTGATGATTTCATCCAATAATACAGCTTTAAATACATGAGTACCTGTATGCTGACAGTATTCAGGTGTCTCCAGATTTGTATATCCATCTCCAGAACTGTATATCTGACTCTCTACTTGACACACATACTTTAAAGTCTAATAGGTACTTCAATCTTGATGTGTTTAATGCCAAATTCCTGACCCATTCCTCAACCTCTGACTTGATCCCTGTGTAATCTTCCACATCTCAGTAAATCACAATTCTGTTCTAACAGTTGCTTAGTCAAAAAGTTTGTAGTTATCCTTGACACCCATCCCACACTCTACTTCCTGTCAGCAAATCATCTTGGCTCTCTTTACTTTTACAATATATCCAGAACTGTGCTACACTCTTTGTTATCATGTGTTAAAGACATTCATAGCACCATCCTGATCTAGCCACTATCATCTCAGCTGGATTACTGAGATAGCCTCCTAACAGGTCTTCCTCTTAATTTATTCTTAGCTAGGCAGCCAGAGTGATGCTCCTGAAGTGAAAGTTATATTGTGTCATTCCTTGGCTCAAAATCTCTCCAGTGGCTTCCATTTTCACTTAGTAAAGCTTAAATATGTATTCTGTCTGTCCCTATTACTCTTCTCCTGACTCCTGCTCCAATCTTCTACCCTTAATTGTTTACTCTGTTGGAATGTTCGTCCCCCAGATACCTATCTGTACCTCTCCCTTATCTTCTTCAGTTTTTAATCTTTCTCAAATGTCATTATCTGAGAAAGGTCTTCCCTGATTACTCCATTTAAAAGCATAATCCAATTAAAAAATATAACCTTCTTTAATCATTCTGTAGCCTTTTATTCTATTTTTTCTATAGCACTACCACTACCTAGATGTTATATTTGTTTTTTATTATCTGCTTTTCACTACTACAATACAAGCTCTGTGAAGGCAGAGCTTTTTTTTTATTCATGACTTTGACACAATCTGGCATGTTCAGCAGTGTCTGAAATACAGTAGTAGGCTTGCAGTACATACAGTACATACTTGCTAATTGAATGAATGAATTTGTCTCTAGGTAATTAACATTGACTGGTCTTTAGCATGGTAAACTTGATATCTGCAAGAGTTACATTTTGAGACTGTCACATATTGCCAAATTCATATATACCACTGTAGTATATAATTTCAACTATCTGTAAATGGAGTAATTCCTATAATCTGTGGATTAAATGGGGGAAAAAGCTGAGTCAATTTTTATTACTAGCTTCTTGCTCATCTCTGTTTGGTTCAGGTGCCTGTAGGTGATCAACCTAAAGATATTGAGCTTCAAATCAGAGAGCTCATTCTTCGGTTCATCAGTAATCCAAATTCCATTATCCTCGCTGTCACTGCTGCTAATACAGATATGGCTACATCAGAGGCACTTAAAATTTCAAGAGAGGTAGATCCAGATGGTAAGGACAGATGTTAATATTTATTGAGATGCTTGGTTAACAGTGGTAAATCTATTTACTTTCAAGAAAGGACTTATTATTTTTAAAAGGAATAGCTCTAGCTGTTAATACTCAGTTTAAAAATAATGCTTTCCTATTTTGCTTATAGTTTCAAATAGAAATTCTGATGGGAAATAGTTTTAATGGGTAAATTGCCGTACAGGCTAGGTAGAAATACTTCATAATGTCCATACTTGTAAATGGTTACCTAATGACTTAAAAATAATAAGATGGCTTTGCAAAAAGTTTCTTGTTTTGTGTAAATAAAATGACTTGGGTTTTTGAATGGCTGACTTCTAAGAATAATTAACTCATAGTAGACAATCATTGTAGATTATTATATTTTAGTAGATATTTATGGTATCTACATTTTCCAGAAGTAGAAAACATTTAGATGAGCTTAAGGAAGAGGGGATTCTTAGAAATAAAGGTAAGGTCCATTTATGAAGCATTCATAACCCCAAGGATCAGTTCATACTGTGGGTTGGTGTATGATACTTGACTAATGCTGTAATGTGCATTGCTTATTATATATAAAATGCCGGCTTGCAAGAGAGTAATTATTCTTATTATTTTTTGAGAGTAATTATTATTGCTGCTAATGAACAGTATATGCTTTGCTCCATACAGGGGACAGTTTTTTTTTTTACATGAGTATTTGGAGGGTTAGTGGGCTCTGCTATGTTTCTTTTTTCCTGCTTTGAAGAAGAATTTCAAATAAAATTGGATAAGAAATGTTAGTGCTAAGACTGCTAATTAAAATTCTCATAAAAAAGGGTCATTATATTTTTTTTATTTCAGGTTTTTAAAAACCTTTTTTACTATATGAATAAGTAATGTTCATTTTAGATTAAAAGATAAAACTATACCAAGAGATTTAGTTAAATTTTATTTTTATTTATAATACAGTTAAGCATTTTATCTTTAATTCTAATTTAATTCTAATTTAAACAGACCCTTGAGCCATAAATATGACCATACTTTTGATCTAGTAATCTTAATATAGTAATATAGTATAAGGAAATAATATAACCTAGTATTATTTATAGTATCAAAAAATTAGAATCAACTTACTATATGACCCACAGTAAGAATGAGTAAGTAAATTAATAGAATATGAAATCATTGAAAAAGATGATTTTTGTAGATTTGGGACAAATAGGAAAATGCTTATAATTGAAAAATGCCACATATAAAGTTGGACACAAGGCAGAGCAGCAGCTGGAACGCTCATACATTGATTGCTGGTGGGAACGGTGTAGCCACTTTGGAAAACAGTTTATCAATTTCTTAAAAAGTTAAGTCAGTAGTTCTAGGTAATTATCCATGTTAAATGAAAACTCATGTTCATATAAAAACCTGTTTGCACATGTGTATAGTAGCTTTACTTGTAATCTAAAACTGGAAACAACTCAGGTGTTTCTCAAATGGGGAATGAATAACTAACCCCTAAGTACATCCATACCATGGAACACTATTCATCAATAAAAGGGAATGAACAATTGATACTTCAGCAGCATGGATGACTCTCAAATGCATTATGCCAAGTGAAAGAAGCCAGATTCAAAAGGTTGTGTATATGATTCCATTTATTTAATAATCTGGAAAAGGTAAAGCTAGGATGAAAAATGGGTTTGATTAGGCAGTACAAGAAAACTTTGGGGGTATTGGAACTGTTTTTCTTGAGGTGGCAGTGATATAACTCTTTGCATTTTCAAAATTCATAGGACTGTATACCAGGAATGAGTGAATTTTAAACAAATTTTAAAATGCTTATTGAAAAGCCCTAAGAGCTAATAAATTTTTTATGTGAAATTTAAAAAATATATACATGATAATTAAAGTTAGATTTTAAAAGTATTCGTAAGCAAAGATTAGAAAAGCATTATCAAAATGATGATAAGAGGTACTATCCAATGGGATTACAGATGATGATTTTTCTTTATTAATTCTTAAAAGCTTTATTTAATGGGCCATTTTCTTTCCTTTTTTTGCATTTACCAGGTCGCAGAACTCTAGCTGTAATCACTAAACTTGATCTCATGGATGCGGGTACCGATGCCATGGATGTATTAATGGGAAGGGTAATACCAGTCAAACTTGGAATAATTGGAGTAGTTAACAGGTTAGCAATCAAGAATGGGATAAAAATTGCAGCATTCTCATTTCAGAGCATATCTGAATTTTTAAAATCAGTTTAACATGTGACAGCGCCCCTATTTTTCCCCCTTTTACTGTAATCTTGGTATTGCTAAAGAATTCATTGCTTTAAAGGGAGAAAAGAAATTCATGAAAACTTCCCGTACACAAAAGGTTTCAAAGTAAGCAGTGCCATAAAATGGAAGGGCATTTACTGGATAAGGGGGGGAAATTTACATAATTTGTACCCAAACAAGAAAGAGTTTGTTAAGGTGGTAGGATTTTAATATACTGGTTTAACCCCTAGCATTAGTGATTCTATGTAATTGTCAGGATGTGACTTAGAGAAATTTTATTAAATGTATCTTAATTATAAATAGCTAGTATTAAAATTGTGGAAAGGAAAGGGTGTCTAATTATGTTTATACCCTCTACTGTGATCAGTTTGCAAATGGTATCTCTTTGAACCCTTACAATATCCCTGAGGTAGGAGTTGATGTCTATTTTATAATCAGAAAGCTCAAGTTATACATTTACCAAAGCCACAGGGCTGGTGAAAGCAGAGCCAGATAAAGTGAAGATCCCTCTTAGTCCAAAGCCTTTGTAAAATCATAAGTGCTGTAATTATCGTATCATCCACAAAGTAGATATAACAGGTTTAAATGACTACCTAACATCTTTGAGTTTCAGACCTTTTAAAATTAAAATGTTTTCATTAAGTGGTATATAAGATCCATTACAGTTGTCTGCTTCTATTCATATGTCCTTCTACCTCACCCCTACTGCAACTTTCTTTTTAATTCCCACTATTTCTCTTTTCAGGCAAGCAGGTGGCATAACACTATTTGTTGTATTTGTAGATGACTGCTGTTCATGTAATTTTTTTTGGTAGAAATTAGCTTCCTCTCCATGGACAAAATATACAGTTGATAAAGACAAATTTATTCACCTGTCTAATCCCTTTTACTTGAGAGTACTGCTTTTGACTGTAGTTAATGTAATGAGGGGGCCTAAACTGTGTAGGCTTTACTTACTTATAAGTCACATGGTGTGAATCTTGACTGAACTACTTAATATGTGACTTTTGGTAAGTTGATTAATCTCCCTGAGCTTCAGTTCCTTTGCTGTAAAATGGGATAATACCTACCACATAGAATTATTGTGAGAATTAAAAACAATCCATGTCAGGCATTACGAACAATGCCTGGTGCTGCTATATCATCACCATCATCATCCAAGGTACATAGAGGACCATGGTTGACTTCAGCTGAACAGTTTTACTATTTTTCAACCTTAGGAGCCAGCTAGATATTAACAATAAGAAGAGTGTGACTGATTCAATCCGTGATGAATATGCTTTCCTTCAAAAGAAATACCCATCTCTGGCTAACAGAAATGGAACAAAGTATCTTGCTAGGACTCTAAACAGGTAATGTTTTTTACCTCTTAGAAAATGAGGTGTTTTTTTTTTTGGTTTTGTTTGCCAATAGGTTGTCTGAGACCTTTCATTTTCAGTTCCTTATATTTTCATAATGTTCTTGCATGTACAGCTTCACTTTTTGTTTCTTGTAAAGTAGGTTCTTGTAATGTAGATGTCTATTTTTATTGGGGTGGTTGGCATGAAATCATTATGTAGTCTAGGAATGCTAGAGTGAATTTTAAAATGTCTTTTTATTTTTTTGTTAATCCTCTCCTGAGGATATTTTTCCCATTGATTTTTAGAGAGAGTTGGGGAGAGAGACATTGATGGGAGAGAGAAATATCAGTCAGTTGCCTCTGATACTCAGCTGGACCAGGGACTGACCCTGCAACGTGGGTATGTGCCCCAAACAGGGATTGAACCTGCAGCTTGTGTATGTGTCCTGGCTGGAAATCAAACCCGTGACCTATGGGATGATGCCCCAAACAATTGAGCCACACCAGCCAGGGCTCCATTATTTGCATTTTAAAAATTTGACTTGTTTGGTTCTTCCCAATACACAATTTTACTTTAACATCCTTCCTTTTTAACCTTTGTTAGATTACTGATGCATCACATCAGAGATTGCTTACCAGAGTTGAAGACAAGAATAAATGTTTTAGCTGCTCAGTATCAGTCTCTTCTAAATAGCTATGGTGAACCTGTGGATGACAAAAGTGCTACTTTACTCCAACTTATTACCAAATTTGCCACAGAATATTGTAACACTATTGAAGGAACTGCAAAATATATTGAAACTTCAGAGCTGTAAGTAAGAAATTTCTCTATCAGTTTGGCTACTGGATTGATAGGTTACTTTATCTTCTGTTACAGGGACAAAAGATACTATGAGATTATCTGACTGATTTATTATTACCTGTAAAACAGGATTATCATTTTGTAGAAATGATGGGATGGTATCTGATGTGTTAAAATTTCTTTATGTAAAGCACAATAAAAATTTCAGGTTATATATTTTTAATAAGACTTTAATTGAAAAGCACTTAAGAATATTTCATAATTTAACTTTTAAAATGCTTGTTTCTTTAATACGTACTGTATAACTGTTCATGAAAAATAAGAAAATGTAGATAAAAAAGAATACATAAGGACAAAATTAGTCTTAATTCCATCATCCAGAAATAATCCCTGCTAATATTGGCATTAACCTAGATATTTTTCTTTGCATCTGTAAAACATAAACATGCTTGTATTATACATCTTTTAAAATCAGATGCTTTACATGCTATTTTGGAATCATTTCTTTAAATTAACATGTCACAAACATATACATTTGTATGATCAATCTTAAGATTTTCATAGTGTTTTATTTTTTAGATATACTATCATTTGTTGGACCAGTCCCATACTATTGATAGTTTGTTTTCAGTTATACACTGTCTTTTGGGCATGTTATCTAAGTATGTATCTAAGTATATCCTAAGATATATTCCTAGAAGTGGAATTACAAGATCAAATGGTATAACATCCTCAGAGTCTATTATTGCCATACTACTAATAGATTTGTTTTCCTCATAGCAGTAAGGATCTCCATTTCTCTAAACTCTTTTTAAAAAAAATCTTTTTGTTTTGAAATGATTAGACTTCTGGGAAGTTGCGAATGAATATACAGGTGAACAGGGGAGTCCTGTTCACCTTCCACCCTCTCCCCTAATGTTGCCATCTCGCATAACTGTAGTGCGTAACAAAACAAGGAAATGGACTTTGGTACAAGCCACAGATCTTATTCAAATTTACTGTTATACACGTATTCGTGTGTGTGTGTGTGTGTGTATAGGTCTATGTATTTTTGTGTGACCCTGGTGACCTTTTTGTGATTTAACTCCATAAAGAGAGTATTTAACAAACTAATTATTGAATAATTGTTATGTGTATGGCATATTGAGGAAAATAAAAATTACTAAAATGAGCCTTTTAAAGAATTCAGTAAGGTAGGTCAAGGTAACATGAGGCTTAATTAGGAGGCAAATAGGAGTATAATCCACTATTTTTATTTATATACTTATTAAATGTAATACATAGCCAGAAAAGTGCATATAACATTCATGGAGTTTTATAAGTAGTTAATAAAGCAAATACCTGTGTTATCACCTAACAGAGCCTTTAGAACACTGAAGAGAGACCATTTACATTTCTTTCAGGGATTGAGAGAGCTCCCTTGTTAAGAATGCATTTGGTTGGGGCTCTGAATAGAATTTGGGAAGGTAGTAAGTAGAAGGGTGTTTTAGGCTTTGGAACAGCAAATAATAACCAGGATGTATTTGAAGAATGGCATGTATAATGATGGGGCGTAACAGGAGGTAAGGCATGGAAGGTGGCTAAGAACAATCTTGTGGAAAGTTGAGTATCTTCAGAATTTAGAGACCTTCTTACTTTAAAAGATAAAACACTTTTGGTTAAAGGAGTAACTGTTTTAGAAGGATAATTCTGGTCAATATGAACATTATTTTGAGAGGGGGCAGAAAGACCAACTACTGGTAATTTTAACCATTTTTAAGCGTATAATTCAGTGGCATTGAATACATTCACAGTATTATACAACCATCAGATAGTATCTATTTCCAAAATTTTTCAGCACCCCAACAGAAACTCTGTATCCATTTAAGTAATATCTCCTTGTTACCCCCTCCCTCAGCCCCTGGTAACCTCTGATTTACTTTGTCTCTATGAATTTGCCTATTCTAGATCTTTCATATAAGGGGAATCATATGACGTTTGTCCTTTTGTGTCTGGCTTATTTCACTTAGCCTGTTAGGCTTGAACCTTTTGCCTTCCTTATAGATTACTATAAGGAAGTAGTAAATAGTGATGGTGAAAATAGAAAGGGATGATTTGGGGAGACATACAGACATTTGTAGAATTCAGCTGGACTTGAATAAAAAGATAATACCAGGGGTTCTAGTCATTAAAATAAGAAACACAAGATGCCTAGTACATAGGCCCAGCGAGTTAATTTGTTTAAAACAGGAGTAGGCAAACTATAGCCCATTGGTGAAGAATGATTTTTGTGCTTTTAAATAGTTGGAAAAAAAATTTAAATGAGGAAAATTCAAGTTTTAGTGTGCATAAATTTTATTGGAACACAGCTGTTTGTTTGTTTACATATTATCTATGGCTCCTTTAGTGCTCAGTGACAGAGTTGAGTAGTTGTGACATAGACAGTTATGGACTAAAAAGCCTAAAATATTTGTCTGGCCCTTTGTAGAAAAAGTTTACCAATCTCTACTCTGGATTGTGAGTAAATAGAAATAATAAGATACTGTTTCTTGTCTTTAAAGAGCTCATAGCTAGTTGAAGAAAACTAGGGCAGAGGAAAGATGTTTAGTAGCTCTTAGAACCGATTTTTCCTGACAGAATGTGTGTGTGTGTGTGTGTCTTTATGAAATGACTCCTTTCCCCCATTTAAAAAAGAAACCGCAGCCTGGTGGGGCGTGGCTCAGCAGTTGAGCGTAGACCTAGGATCCAGGTGATAGGGGTTCGATTTCCGGTCAGGGCACATGCCAGGGTTGTGGGCTCGATCAATGACTCTGTCATCATTGATGTTTCTGCTCTCTCCCTCTCCTTTCCTCCCTCTGAAATCAATAAAGATATAGAAATCATAGAAACTGGTTCACAGTAGAGTTGAAGACATGTGGAAATGGGAGTGGTCTAAATGTAATTGTTTATCTGAGACTTCTCAGCTGAGTCAAGCATAAAGCTTATAGAAAGACTTATAACTTGCGACTTCTTTCCCTTTTAGTAATACTAGAAACCACATAGTTCATTGTCATTGCCTTTCAGATGCGGTGGTGCTAGAATCTGTTACATTTTCCATGAGACTTTTGGGAGAACCTTAGAATCTGTTGACCCACTAGGTGGCCTTAACACTATTGACATATTGACTGCCATTAGAAATGCTACTGTGAGTATGTTTAACTCAGAATTTTTTGAAATGAGGTTAAACTTTTTTTTAAAACTCAAATTGTACAACTTATTTTGCTCTCATACATGAAATTAGGAAGCACTTCTCATGAAAAATACCAAAATGTGATTTAACCTTTGCAAAGAACTAAAATGATATGTAGCTGTAAGAGCTTGAAATTTAATTTTTTTAGGGTCCTCGTCCAGCTTTGTTTGTGCCTGAAGTTTCCTTTGAGTTACTGGTCAAGCGGCAGATCAAACGTCTGGAAGAGCCCAGCCTCCGCTGTGTGGAACTGGTTCATGAAGAAATGCAAAGGATCATTCAGCACTGTAGCAACTACAGTACACAGGTAACTGAGAAATGGAACAGGGTTCAGGTCAGTAGTAAAAGACACGAGGGAGTGGTTTCATGGGGTGGAAGGAAATATATACATAAGATGGTCTATAAGTTAAAATACGCAGTTTCCTTATCTAAAAGTGATTTGAAATAGTATACTTAAATGGAGCTCCAAGTCTAATTCAGTATTTCAGTGATTATTTAATTTCTCTTTAAACAAAATAGACTGTTACATTTTTTTCTTCTACCATATATAGGAGCTGTTGAGGTTTCCTAAACTTCATGATGCCATAGTCGAAGTAGTGACTTGTCTTCTTCGTAAACGGTTGCCAGTTACAAATGAAATGGTGAGCTATTATTTTCATAAGTCATCATTGTAGTCACTATTAATAAACATGTTTTTGTACAGCATTATGATGAAAGTTTAGGCGTGATGTTTTCCAGTATGCTGAGAAGGAAAAAAAAGTGGATTTCAGTCTTATTTCAAAAGAAACTTCAATAATTCTGATACAAAGTGTATTTTTCTTCATATTTTAATCATTACTAATCTGCAGCCACAGGTTTTCATGAAAAGGGAGTCATTGAGTTTGTGAATAGCTTTGCTTTGTTATGTTGGAACAGTGATCTACTGGAAAGTTAGTTTTATCTCTAGCCCCAGTAAACTGAGGCTTTATAACAGGCTCTTAATTTCATGCTGATGTACATCAGGATAATTTGGCCACCTCTACTTTGCTTGTTTGATGACCTAATACTTTAATATCATAGTTGCTTGCTTTTATTTTGTGTGTTGCTGCTATCCTTTAAAATAAAAATGCTAAAATTTGTAGAAATATAAATATTTGAAATTGACCTTTTTGTTTTCCTTTCTGGTTACTGAAAATGCATTAGGATATTTGACTCAGGATGGTGAGCCCTAGTAGAGGTTCACTAAGAGGACAAAAGCATCCTTGGAAATAGAGAATGTTAAGTGCTGCTGCTTAGTTGTTCCCCGAGCAAGCATAACCCCTAGATGACCTCAGATTGTACACACTAATGTCACAGAATCATTGGAATTTCATTTGAATAGATCCTTTTTACCTGATTCTTGACCTTTTAGTGTTGTTCTGATTCCTGAGATTTGTCGGGATGGTGAAAATGAAGAAATTACTGTAATCTCTCTGCAGTGCTGAGATTAAATTAATTCCAACCTTCCTTTTGATGATTGTCCCACTAGGATTTTGAACCACATATAATTTATAATATTTAAACTAGGTGCTTCATAATTAAGGTTCATCAGTCATTACCTCAGGTCTTTAAATGTATTCTTCACCTAAAGTTAACATCTTTATATCTGATTCTGAAATATTTTGTTAATGTTGAACCTGACCTAGAATATTGAATGACCTGAGGTTTAAGTACCAAACTTGCATTAAGCTTTGGAACTTAGATTTGCATAAGGTATATAACTACCTTAATCATTTTCCCCCCTAGAAGTGCAGTCTCAGATACTGAAGTAGAAATAATTCAAAAGATAGAGCAAATTAATATTTGGCATAAGATTTATCTGTTTGGGTATAATTATCAAATATTTATTTAGGCATCAGTTTCCTGTACTGTCTTTTTTAGAACTATCTAATAAGTTTTATATATAATTTCCTAAAGTAAAATTAGGTTGAAATATTTTTGTATATAGCCTAATTTTATATTTTTTTAGGTCCATAACTTAGTGGCAATTGAATTGGCTTATATCAACACAAAACATCCCGACTTCGCTGATGCTTGTGGGCTAATGAACAATAATATAGAGGTAAGTACAATCTGAATTATCTTTTTTGAGAGAAAAACCTCTTATAACTCAGTTTTATCAAATATGTTGAGCACGGGGTAACTATAAAACATACATGTACCACCACATTATTGTCTGTTATATGCTAATAAGTATGCCAAAGGCATTATTTTCTTAAATTTAATTCTCAAAACCACCCGGAGGCATTGTTCTCCTTTTCTGCTTATGGAACTGTAATGCAGAGAATCTGGGATTCACTGCTTTAGTGTGAAGGTCTGCCTGGCTCCACTTCAGTAACTGTTGCAGTTTATTCAGGTTGAAGTGCATAAAACAAAATGAATTCCGAGAACTACCTACATTATACTAGATTTGGAAAAACAGTCCTCTTTTCACTGGGGTGGCTGCGTTTCATGGATCTTCTTTTCCCCCATTTGATGTTAATGTTGCAAGTTGCATAAGACCTCAGATGGAGCCAAGACTGATGGACAGAGCAACTGATCTTACGCTGTTTTTCTCTCTGTGACTTTTATCCAAGAACAGTAAATTTTTCTGCTACTCCTAATACAGTAGGACCTCAGAGCCCCCTTCTGTATCAAACTTCCACTTATGCATATGGATGGAAAGAATATTATAAACATGGAATTTGGGAACTGCAGGGACCCTGGGTTATGACTTCAACCCTTTGGTTAAACTAACAGATAAGGAACCTGAGACCCACAGATGGTAACAGCTGTTGCTTTAGTGCTTATTTTGCTGGGCACTATTGGAGGAAACAAGCATCTTCTCTTTAACAGGTACACAGAACTCTTTATTAGCTACCTAGCTGAAGTGATTCCTACTTTCAGAAAAATTCTAAAATGCACATGAGTAAGGCACTTAAACACTCGGAAAGTAGACTAGATAAAAGTTATGTTAAAATTAGCATGTAGACACCATCTTAGGATAAGGATTTTTAGTTCTTACAACATCGAAACCAACCTCATGGAAAATGTGTGTCTGGAAGTTTTTGTAATTAAGGACAAGGTCATTTATGATGTGATGTCATTCAGATCAGTATTTTTCTACAAGTGTGAGTATCTCTCTGGTTTTAATGAGTCTGCACCAAAGAACTTTATGTGACTATTCTCATTTAATCTGTACAATAACCCTACGAGAGTAGATCTTGGGGACCTGTGCAGTTAACAAAGCAAGGAAGCCACGACTGTCGGGCTCTAGGGCCAACTAAGGTCATAACTGCTTGGGACTAGGGTGAGAATTTCTAGTCCTTGGATCCCCTGCCTTTTGCTTTGTGTCCCTCTTCAAAATGTACATTTCAACATCTTAAAAGTTATCATCTACTGTATTTTTTTATCGCTGAATTACCTCCCATGAAAAAAAACGAAAATGGGTCAAATTTTGGTCAGAAAATTTTATTAAATCACAAAATGTCATTGTGAAGCTTTATTGACTTAACAGCTCTTCGCAAGTTTGAAAGTATTCACGAAGAGCTCTCTACTTAGGAACGGTTTTAACGAAATGCTTTTTTACTATATTTGATGCTGCCTGTGAGAGTCATTTATCTACATCCCTGTATATTTTCTTGGTCTTCTACCGATCATGGTGTTTATTCAGTACCCGTTGCTTTGAATATAACAGTTTCTTTAGCTACTTGTACTAGAGTTACTTTGATAAAATAGCAAACTAGAAGAGTGGGCAGCTGATCAGTCTGTTAAGTCAGCCAGGTTACAGAAAGGACTATCAGTTTTCAACACTACATTTATAACCTGGAGATGGTTTAGGGTAAAGAAAATGGACCATTCTTACAGGATAACCTTCACCACAGATATTTTTAAAACTTATGGTTTTGTGTGTGGGATTTATGGGAATATAACATAAAGTTGTATTTCATGAGATTCAGTCCATGGCTCCTCATTTTAGAATTCCTCATACAGGGGAGCCACTATTACTGACAGTTGTGTTGTATCCCTCAGGTGTGTTGGGGCAGAAAAAAAGATTGAGAAGCATTGGGTTAAATGATTTGTTTGTTTTAAAATATAATTATGGCATGAGTTCCAACAGTGAGAGGATATACTGTAAGTTATTACATACTTTTCAATTAAGCTGAACATTTTTTAGTAGGCTTACATCTCAGTGCTCTGATAATCAGTTTTGTTTTGCATGGTTGTGTTTTATAGGAACAAAGGAGAAACAGGCTAGCAAGAGAATTACCTTCAGCTGTATCACGAGACAAGGTAAAAAACAATTTTTAAAGCATAGTCCTATTATGCAAAGATGGATTGGCAAGCCTCAGAATATTACTTCTAGGAGTAATTTTTTCTCTTCTCCTTTAATATTCCATTGGGGCTATTTCATTTCTTTGAGTACAATTATGCAGGGTTTAAAAACAGGTTTTGAATAATTTAAAGGTAATGGTATTTTTACAGAGAGCAGGCTGATGGTTGCCAGAGGGCGGGGGGAGGTTGTGGAGCTGGGTGAAAAAGGTGAAGGGATTGAGAAGTGTACAGATTGGTAGTCACAAAATAGTCATGGGAATGTAAGGTACAGCATATGTTATCTAGTCAGCAATATTATAAAAACTATGTATGGTTCTAGGTGGGTACTGGAAATATTGGGGAACTCTTTGTAATAAAGTATGTGATTGTCTAACCACTGTGCTGTGCACCTGAAACTAGTACAAGATAATACTGAATGTAAACTGTAATTGAAAAATAAAATTAAAGATAATAGTATTTTTAATGCATAAAGGTGGATGGATTTTAAATGTCCAGCCTTATTTTTAAATTCAGTGACTTTATCAACTTAAAATTAGTTGAAATGACTAATGACTTTATTATAATAAGAAGGCTTTTTGGAGAGGGAGACAACAATATGCACATAACAGGTTAATACCTACTTTAGTTGCACGTATTGTTTGTGTGTATAAAAATCCAATACCTCGAATTCTTTTCCAGAAAAGATTTTACCAAATTCCAAAAATAAAAATGAAGTTTTTGGATTTTCCTTACGTATGCATCTGAGAACAGCCTTTAACAAAGGTGACATCAGTACAAGAAATAAGGCAGAATAAACATTAATTTTATGTCCCATGATTACTTTTGTTTTTCATGTTACTTTATTATTTTGATACAGGCAGGAAAATTCACATTTATAGAAAGTTTCTGAATGCATTTTGGCATCCTTGATTTTTTTTCCCTGCATTTTTTGCCTTTAGTCTTCTAAAGTTCCAAGTGCTTTGGCACCTGCCTCCCAGGAGCCCTCCCCTGCTGCTTCTGCTGAGGCTGATGGCAAGGTCTGTTGTGATTCTTAGTCTAAGCCTGCATGCCTAGTTGTTTGGTGCAACATAATCATCTGGAAACAGTACACTGACAAACAATATTAATATGGACTATATACAGTAATGTATACGTATGAAGTAAGTTATTCTTGACATGCTTTTGCTTGCAATATAGATGATGCACACAGAAAAACAAGTTAAAGAGGAAATTATTTTGTACTTTTTGACTTTCAAGCCATTGATACTGAAATTTTGCTTGTTAAACTGCATGTTTTAACATATCTTTTAACAGTTAATTCAGGACAGCAGAAGAGAAACTAAAAATGTGAGTCTCTTGTTTCAGAATAGCAATGTTGGTACCTTTGGTTCTCACTGAAACACTGTTTCAGAACCACTGAAGAACCTGTCTGTACAGTGGCATCTAATGGTTCTCATGGAAACACTGTTTCAGAACCACTGAAGAACCTGTCTGTACAGTGGCATCTAACTTGTCGTCTGTGTTACGTCTTTAATGTTGCTCTTATCTAACCCCTTTAAGGCGGCATTAATTCTAGTTTTAATGTTTTAAAATAATAACAATAATAGGCTTTCCCACTGTTTTCTGTTACCTTTAAGAATAGTTTTGAATTTAGTATTTTGTTTGGGAATTATAATTCCAGAGATAGAAATTGTACTTTTGGATATTTCTTTAAAGGTTCTGAGATATGTCTAGTACTCATGCTTATTATGCTTCCATTTAGTTTGTACCTGTCACCCTATACATATAGCTTAACATGAGCCCCAACAGCTTAATATAAACAAGGGGATTGTGAGAGTTTGCGACTGTTGATTCTTGATAACCTTTTTAGGGGAAAATTTAAATTTTTCAGACCCACTGTTCTGGTTTTTCTGCCATTTAGCTCCTTTCTTTATTGTCCAGATTTAAGGTTTTGAACCTCAGACAAAACCTGATAAATGTCTTCTCTCAGCCCACTGTGCTAAGACCTCGAGACAACCATTCCTTATGTGTTATTTCACTCATGGCATCATCCTGAATTTGCTTAAGATTTTGTTACACCATTCATGTATAAAGACATTTTAAAATTAATGTGTAAATATACTGCCTATATTTAGATAAAGCTCATCTTAACGGAGGCAAAACTTAGGCCAGAATGATACCCAAAACTGACATTTTTAAATAACTGTCATAACACTCTTCTGTTAAGTTTATATAAGCCATTTTTGTCTCTCTATAAATTTTGGATGTCATCTTATATCCGTTTTATAGTCTAAGATCTCAATGAGCATCTGATATCTTAAATGTTGATGAATTACTGTTTTTCTTATTATCGTAGTCATTTTCCTTTTAGAAATCAAGACTAACGTACCCTAGAAAAGGTGAAAAAGCAGTTGTGATTAATGGTAGCACTAGATTTCTCTCAGCAGATCCTTTCTCAAGAATATAGACGTTGAGGGAACTTGTGTTTATGTTACATTTCACATTTTAGGCAGCCTAAGGTCACTGTCAGCCTAAGAATCATGGGTATATTTTTGTTTCTTTTATAAAAATGTTTCTACTTTTATCCTATGATATTTTGTTGACTAAATGTAAAGTAACTTGAGGAATACATAAACTCAAGTTTTGGAGACTTGAGTTCTTAGGACTTTTGGAGAGATCACAGTTCAACAGTGTTTAAGGTTACATTGAAGAAATTAAGCTGAGCAGTATGTTTTTCCTCATGCTTTTAATGAGCAGTCTTGTTTTTAAAGGCATCTTACAATTTTTCTGCAATCTAGTGTAAGAGTTTGGAAAAAATGAAAAGCTAGCAAATATGCTAAAGAAGGTTATACAGGCCAGCGCATCTCTTTCTCACCTTGTCATAACTCCAGCTGGGTACTGGATGTGTGTTCTCCTTGACTACTGTGAAAGAAAATGAACTTGGTTTAATTGTGGTCAGATTTGATATGGTTGGTAGAGACTCTGGAACATCTGTTTTCTTCCAGCTTATGTCTGGAGGTGGTGGGGTTGGAGATGCTGTTCAAGAACCAACAACAGGCAACTGGAGAGGAATGCTGAAAACATCCAAAGCTGAAGAGCTGTTAGCTGAGGAAAAATCAAAGCCAATTCCAGTTATGCCAGCCAGTCCACAGAAGGGCCATGCTGTGAATCTGCTGGACGTGGTAAGCCGGGAGAGTCTGGTTGAGGACTAGTAAGGTAACCAGTTACTAGGAAAACGCACAAAAGGCAAAAGGAACTAAACGTCTCAAACTCATTGAATTCTGAATGCTAAATATTTCCATTTCAAAATGGCACAATTTTTTTTTTTTTCCTCGCCCTGACCCCATCTAGCCAGTTCCTGTTGCACGCAAACTATCTGCCCGTGAGCAGCGAGACTGTGAGGTTATTGAACGACTCATCAAATCATATTTTCTTATTGTCAGAAAGAATATTCAAGACAGGTTGGTAGTACATAATGAGTCAGACTGCAATACTGCTGGGTGATTCCATAATCTGTTTTGAAAATACATGTAATTTTTAAATTTTAAGTTTTTATTCTAACTCAAATGGATCCTCTTATGTTTTGCTTTGCAGCGTGCCAAAGGCAGTAATGCATTTTTTGGTTAATCATGTGAAAGATACTCTTCAGAGTGAGTTAGTAGGACAGCTGTACAAGTCATCCTTATTGGATGATCTTCTGACTGAATCTGAGGACATGGCACAGCGTAGGAAAGAAGCAGCGGATATGCTAAAGGTATTATTGTGGATTTTTTTTTCACATTTGGGTTGTAGATATAAACATTTTGTTATTTAAAATGTATTCTGATCCTTGGATACATCTATAGCCTTCATGTGATGTTGGTACATGATTAGAGTCCAGATAGGTACTGGTTAATATAAATCAACCACATGATAGAGATTACCCCACATAATTCAGATTCTTTGATGTCATAAATATGAGTTTATAATTCTCATCTTCTTTAATGCAGGCATTACAAGGAGCAGGTCAAATTATTGCTGAAATCCGAGAGACTCATCTTTGGTGAAGAGAACTACGTTAATAGTGAGACTCTGTTGACTCGAAAATTGCTAGTTACTGCCTACTTGAGTAGATTTTTATTTATGAACTCCTGTGTATTCAATGGTATGAATTGCTCTGCTCATATGAAGACTGGCTATACACTGAAAATCGTACTCTGTGTTACAGAATGGAATCACACATTTAATCCAAATAATAAATGGCTGTTTCTAAAGTTTCCCAGTATATATAAAATACATCAAGTCTTTCTTGTGACAGTTTCCTTTGAACTTAAAAATATTAATGTTCTTGTTGTACAAGCAGCTTGCCTGTGGATAAGATGACCTGTGTAATCTGTTAGTAGTCTTAAAGCTGCCGCCATAGTCCAAGAAGAGCGCACCAAGACATTTCATACGACTGTACTGCATGACTAGATAAACTGAGCTGGCTTTGAAAGATGTGGGTTGGCAAGGTACTCACACAGTCACTGTATTCCACCTGTCCTTTGATTTAATTTTATCTCTGCAGTCTTTAATGTGTTAGTAAGAAAGCTGGATGCACAGAGGATCTGTAACAATGACAATGGTGGGTGTGCATAATGTGTAGCTACACAGCCCTTCCACTTCTGTTGTCCAATTGCCCTACTGCATTAAAATATCTTTGATTCTTACTTAAACCTAGAAGCATGAATTACATTTTCCTGTATTAAAAACAACCATCTCGACTTGGTGATGACCAGTTCCTTTTAGTTTTTAGAGGTTCTAAAATTTCCCCTTGGCTTTCAAATGATAGTAGTAATACAGATACATCTTTAAACTGGGGCACTTACACCATGCTCCAAGATTCACTTGGAGGTGGGACTTAAAACCAAATACTGTGCTGATCGATAACTATTAGTTAGCAATAGTTAACTTTTGCTTGTTTGACCAAAGTTGGTATAACAATATTTGCCTCTTTTACTTCTTCTTTATACATAAAACCCCCAGCAAAATATATTAAAGAAAAACATGCAGACACACAAACTCCTACTGGCTTATAGACAGCTAAATTGCACCCACGGGCTTGAGGGTGAGGTTTAAAACATATATACATTTTATTAAAATTCCTCAAATTTTAAGATAATGGTCAAATTCTTAAGGCTCCATTGCTAACATGTTAAGTAAATTATACACTGCAAATATTAAATTTTCTTTTTAAGTTACAACATTTACGAAGGACTGTTGGCAATATGAATATATCTGTTAACTTGAGCTTATGGTACCCATTTACTAAGAAACAACAGGCTCACCAAGTTATCTCAAGCATAAAAAAACCAGATGCAGTCTGACATATGGTACTGTGAATTCACTAGTAGCACCATCTTGATAGAACACACAGTTCCACAATGTTTGTTAGTGCACTTTAATATCACTCTGCCATCGTTAAACATCCACTTTGAAATTACAGCCATCCATGATTTTCAGACAGATCAGACGACTACCATCTTAGCCTTTTGACTTTGTAAGGGGAAAAAACCCTTCTAATGTACTTTTCTCCAGCATATCAAACATTTCCAATTAAAAATGTTCCCTTTAAGGACATGCTATGGTAATGCACTTTCTAGTTCTGCACACCTTGTACAGAGGAAAACAAGAAAGATATGGAAAGAGAAAACCTTTGTTGGCCCTTAAACTGAGTGAAGTTCTGAAATGTGGAGATGATCTATGACCTTTATAATGGATACTTGTACGTTCTTGCTGTGTAAATAAAATTGCTGGTATGAAATGACATTAAAGTTTATCAATAAATGAATTCTTCCTCACTTTACTCCCAAAGGTTTAGATAAACTCTGGGTTTTTAACATATAAATCTAATACAGTTTATATTGTATGAAAGTTTTATTTAAGACTTTCTTATTAAATTCTAACAATTCACTGAAATATTATTAATGTCCATTTTTTTGCATATGAAGACAGTGACTTGCTCCAAGTCATCCAGGTAGCAAATGGCTAGAATTTGAATAAAGCCACGCTTTGCTGCCTGTAAGGTTTTCCAGAAATTCGGTGGTGAACCATTCAGTATGTTTGTGCCTTTCACTTGATCCTTAGGGAAATGGGGTGCTATTACCTTATTATATGTGGAAACTTCTGAAGATTTAACTTGCCTACATGTATAGCTTAACTAAGTCTTGATATATATCCTTTAAATTTGACCTGAAAACTCCCCTTATCCGAGTATCTTTTGATATTCTCATGTAATTGGATAGTTGGTATAACAATATCTGCCTCTCTTACTTCTTTGGTTACTTAAGTTTTCAGTTCATCTCAAGTTGCAGTCTGGTTGGGGACAGAAGGTGAAACTATAAAATATTGCTACCTTAGTAACCTAACAAAACAGAGCTGTGAGTAAATTTAGTTTCACTGAAACACAGGTCAGGGAGTGGAAAACAATTATAAACCTTCTGAGAAGTCAAGTACTGATTTTTAATCTTTTCTTTGAAAAGAAACAACTTTGCCCTGGCTGCATGGCTCATTGGTTAGAGCATCCACCTGGGGACCAAAGGTTCACGGGTTCCATTCTGGTCCAGGGCACATACCTGGATTGCCAGTTCGTTCCCTGACCCAATCGGGGCACGTGCGGGAAGCAACCAATCGATGTGCCTCTCCTGTTGCTGTTTCCCTCCCTCTCCCCCCCTTACTCTCTGAAAAGCAACAGAAAAAATATCCTCGGGGGAGGATTAAAAAAACACACACAACTATTTTCATTGTAGTTTCTAATGCCAGTTATAGGTATCTGACTTTTCCCTTTTTTAAGAATGACTATGTTTGCTTCTTAACGACAAAAACCCAGTTTCCAATACTAGACTTTGCATTTCTAACATGGATGCTAGCGCTACTACTGGTTTTGGGATAATATAGACACTGGCGAGGTCAGTGAGATAGATACTTGATGTAAGTGTCCGAAATTCCTTACACTGCCTCTTTTTCATTGTTCCTCCTCATGTCCAAAAAGGAGAGCAAGATAGGATTGGAAAGATAGCATTTAGTTTTTTCATAAAGTATAATTTTTAAAACATTTACCCTGGAAATCATGGTTTTCTATGGTAATCCTTAATGTTTAAGGATCAGAAAATAAAAATATCCCATCATTACACAAACAACTTATTAACCAACCTATATAAATAATGAAATTACTCACACTGTGAGGTCTAGAGTATACTCCATTCTCTGCTGATTTGTATGAGGTGTGTAAGTTCTGTATCCAACCTTTCGTATGTCTTGAGAATGAAGTTTGAATCGCCAGAAGGATTTTTCATCATAGCTGAAGCCATTTTATAATGTAGTAATTCCTTTTTCCTATTTTAAGTAGTGAAAGTCCGTTCTTAAGAATATGTTGTCCAACAATCAAAACACTTTCAGGATTCGTTACTTGTCTGTGATTTATACTGACTCCACCTTCTGTTATCATCCGATACCTAAAAATAGAAATACTTAGTAACTAGAGCTATACATACATTTAAGATAAATAAAAACAGGATGATTTTTCCAACCCACTAATTCCAGTTCAGTGTTGCACGCGGCTGGAGCTTTTCCCAAGCAGCTCAGAGTGCAGGCAGGCACCAATCCTGGAAGGGTGCCCTTCCGTCGTAGGGCACACGCACACACTGATGTGCACATCTTTGGGGGGTGGGAGGAAACCAGAATACCTGGAGAAAATCCATGCAGACGTGGGGAGATCGTACAAGCCCTGGCCAGAAATTGTGGGTTTTTTTTCCTTATTAACATCATAACAAAATGGCATTATTTGAGGACCTGCTGTTAATAGTATTAGCTACAGAAATCTTTAGGAAACTTGCTTGTGAAACTGCAAAATCCCTTCCAGTTACATTCTGAATCTAAGCAAATAAGGGCAAATTTTGTTAAAATACAAGAAAGCAAAACTTTCTCTTAAAAAGTTGACTGATTTCAGAAATGAAAAATCGGTCACTGATTTAATTCTAGATTACTAACAAAATTTTGTGATGGCCTATGTAAAGTAATTAGGTTTTATTCAAGCTATTTATCATCCAATTCATTCAGTAAACATTTACAGAGCCTTTACTATTCACTAAATATAAATAGTACTGCAAATTAGTGGAGAGCGCCAGACAAACAAACGAACAATTATGACACACTGATTAAATGCTGTAAAGAGCTATGAGCGGCTGCGCTAGGAGCACAATGGGGTAGGAATTGGAAATTTTCCTGAAAGGAGTCACGGAAACTGGGAGAGTAAGCTGCAGTTATTTGTACAAACAAGATGAGGAAACATGGGAGTAGCTAGAAAGAGGCAGATTTCAGTAGGAAGGAGGGCTAGAGCATGAAAGGCCTTGGAAGTCCTGCAAGGCAAATGTTGGTTTTCTCTTATCTGAATATGTTACCAAATAAAATTAAGAAATGACTACTAGGCATGGTTTTAGCTCAACAGTAAGGACAAATTTTTTTCCTCTTAGGAAGTGTTACCCGCGCTGTTAAGTTTCCAGATCATGTTTTACACTTTGTTTAAATGCACAAGCCAACCTTACTTAGCTTATACGATCCAAAAAATTTAAGTATTACTTAGATCTCTGGCTAAATCAGATAAGGTGTCATCTTAAGTAGCAGTAAAACTTCCAGAATCAGTAAATCACTAGAACAGTTCAGAAGGAAATGAAAAATGCTTCCAGTGAGGAAAAATCTTAGACGCAGTACTCACTGTGGGAGGTGCAGAACACCACCCTCAATTCAGTGCCTATTAAGTAAACTAGCATGTTAGGAAACCAATAAAGTCGAGTGGCAGGTGATACAAAGACAATGGATATTTTCTCTCTATAGAGTAAGGCTCTTCAGGATGGAGGCAAATAATCCAAAACAATTGGAAAGAAAAACCCCACCCACCAACTATTAACAAATGTCCTTCATAACTATGAGCACGGACTGGTAACTGTTTGACTTGCGCTAGACGCCTGCAGATGAGCGACCCGGCGCCTTCCGGGTAACTAGTGCTCTCCTGCATCTCACTTTTCATTTAGAAATGGATAAGCGTCGAGTACAAGCCGAGTGACTTTGAGGAATGCCTCGTTCCCTAATACCACAAACTCAGGAACTGAAATCTACTTCCTTCCTGAATAAGAATAAAATTCACAAGAGGGATAATTGTATGTAGTTGGTAGTAATAGTCTCATGAAGTTACATCATATGCTTATTTCATTTTCAGAAATTAATACTTTAAACAGGTTGGACAACCCCCCTACTCCCCCAAATAAAGAGGATACAGACTGAATATGAGGGGGTTCGTGTGACTGTCCACTTAGGGCCTCTGTTCTTTTGATCTCAAATCATGACCACCCCTGAGCTGACTGATCCCAGTGTATTTATTGACTATACTGGTTCCTTAAAGGTAAGCTTTTCCAGTGTTGGAGGAAAAACTAGGTTAGATTTAATAAGAAACAGTATAGTAGTACTATTAGACTTCACAGAAAATTTAAGCTATTTTCAGCAAGAAATAATCTGAGTTTTCACTTTATTCTCAGACCAATCTAACTCCTGGAAGGAATGAGATACCATTAAAGCACTTTCAGGAAAACACCCTCCCTGGAAACACATGCTGTGAATTTTAACATTTATTACTGAATTAACTGTGAATCAAAGTTAAATAATCTTACCCCCGGGGACCATCTGGAATGGCATTTGCTTTGCGGCATGTATCTAGGACACTTGTTCCAGGGTCAAGAACTAATTCAGAAAATGCAGCTTCTTTAAACAACTCTTTCAACTCTTGATCAGACATGACTTCCAGTGCATCTATGCTACTGTGATAAAGGGCTTGTGTACACCTGAAAAGCAGATTGAGAACAACATCATATGAGTGCTTGTTCAGATACACATTCTAACACCCAGTATCCAATTATGAAGTGCCCATTACGTTCTAGATGTAAAGGTTTTGAAACAGCAACACTTATCTTGTATAATTCATAAACTTAATTTAGGATCATCTTTCTTCATGGTAAAGAGGCTATTTTAAAGCAACTAAGGCACACATTGACAATCCTTGTTAGTGGTGAAGGACAACTCTAAAGCAGTGTGGCTCCAAATTTCCCAAGTCTATTGACTAAGTAACTTCATCAGTGTTAATTATTTGAAAAGGCCACCTTTTAGCGGAATCCAGCCCTTCTTGTCCATGAACAAGCTTTGTGACTTCTGCAGCAAGCCGTTTCTGAGGACCCCGCTTTTCTGGCTCTTTGACATGCAGCTGCATAATGTGGTCAATCTCCGGAAGGGGCAGAAAAGTGAAGAGCTTCAGGTACCTTTGGGACAAAAAATAAAGTGTTAGATTTATATCACGTACCTAATTTTTATCTCTGGCTCTCTTTTGAATTTATTTTTAATTGTGAAACATAACAAATATGCAGAAATGTACCGAACATAAGACAATCATACACATGCCACTTGGACTAAAGATGTTATTATTTTGCCATTTTTGTTAAAGATCTTTTCGTAAGTCACAAAATAACACAGGTATAGATGAAGGCCCAGCCCCATCGTATTCTCCTTCTTGCCCTGAAATAATCAGGGCAAGATTTGTGTGCATTCTTCCCAAGCATGTTTTTACACTATGTTTTCTCTGCATGTGTATACTATATTGTGTGTGCACCACCCCAAGTCAAGTCTCCTTCCATCACCATTTATCCCCCTTTACCCTCTTTACCTCCCCACCCCATTCCCCGGGCAATCACCATACTGTGTCTGTGTCTAGGAGGGGTTTTTTCTCTTAATCCTGTCGACCTTTTTTACCCAGCCTCCCAACCCCCTCCCCGCTAACAGCTGTCAGTCTGTTCTCTGTATCTGAGTCTGTTTCTATTTTGTTCCTTTTCACTGGATTCCACACATAAGTAAAATCATATGGTTCCTGTCTTTCTCTGACTGGCTCATTTCATTTAGCACAATACTTTCCAGGTCCACCGGTGCTGTGGCAAAAGATAAGCTGTTCTTTATTATGGGTGAGTAGTATTCCACGGTGTAAATATCCCACAGTTTTTTTATCCACTTATCTACTGATGGGCACTTGGGCTGCTTCCAAGTCTTGGCTATTGTAAATAATGCTGTAACGAATATAGGGGTGCATATATTCTTTCAAATCAGTGTTTAGGGGTTCTTCAGAGATGCTCCCAGAAGTGGAATCACTTGGTCATATGGCAGTTCTTTATAGGCCTTTACCTGAGAGAAACCTGTAAGTTCCAAGACAATGGAACTTTTGATTTTTTACATTTCTTCCAGCGATCTACTGTCAAGTGTACTTGAATAAAAGTTTGTCTACACTCGGGAGAGCACATATTGGCAACCTAAGTATCATATATGATAAATGTGCCAAGAAACATAAAAAGCAGCTTAATAATTGATAAATTATTCATGATTATTCATGTTGTTTTAATGAAAAATGCTGTCCATGATCCTGTTTTTTTAGTAGCTATGTGATGACTAAGTTTGTGGTCAACTATGTGGAGACATTTTTGCATTACTGCTGTCCATATTATAAATCACTGGAACAAGAATTGAGGAATTAAAAATCCTTTTGTTCATCCTTAAATTTATTTAAATTTTGATTCTGACATACTCCTTCTAAATTTGTCATCTTGCTAAGAGAAATCTCCAAGATGGATATAACTGATGTCTTCAGAGCATTTCACCCCAAAGCAGCAGAATATACATTCTTTTTGAGTGCACATGGAACATCTTTTAGGACAGACCACATGTTAGGACACAAAACAAGTCTCAATTCATATCAAGCATCTTCTCTGACCATCATGATACGAAACTAGAAATCAATCACAAGAAAAACACTGAAAAACACACAAAGACATGGAAGCTAAATAATATGTTACTAAACAATGAATGGGTTAACAATGAGATCAAGGAAGAAATCAAAAGATACCTTGAAACAAATGAAAATGAGAACACAAAAGTCCCAAATCTATCGGACTTTTCTAGCAATCACAGTGGTTTTCTGCTTTAACCAACCAGAAGCGTTTAACTTTAGAACAGTTGCAAAGTTACGATGTTCTGTGATGTAACTGTTTATGCATTAAATAGAATCTAAGTTAAAAAACAACAATCCCTGCCCAGCTGGCGTGACTCAGCGGTTGAGCGTCGACCTAGGATCCAGGAGATTGGGGTTCGATTCCCAGTCAGGGCACATGCCGGGGTTGCGGGCTGCAGCCGATCAATGACTCTCTCTTACTGATGTTTCTCTCTCTCTCTCCCTCTCCCTTCCTCTCTCTGAAATCAATAAAGATATATTTTAAGAAACAAAACAACCCAAAAAACTATAAAGCATACATTGATTCAATGCTAAAATTATGAGCTTATGAGCTTCATTTTTCCCAGCACACTAGTAAGAACTCACCTTTTTACCAAATCATCTGGCTGCCTGACAAAGAATTGATACAATTCAAATGGAGATGTCCTATCTCTGTTTAGCCAAACAGCATTGCCAGCAGACTTTCCCAGTTTTGCTCCAGTTGTACTTGTAATTAGAGGAAGAGTGATTCCAAATACGTCTTCTCCAGTCAACCTATGCATAAAGAAAACTTCATTATGTATCTCAGTGTGGTCTCTTGCTCTACGAAGCTTCTGTGCCCTCTTCAATCTGGATCCTTGTCTCTCTCACTGCTTTCACAGCATTCACTCTGTTCTGGCATTTGTCACGCTGAACTGCCATTGAACCAGTGACACGGGCAAGCCAAAGGGAGGTGCTTATCTAGGGCCTAGAAATGTTGCAAGGCTGGGTGGGAAGAGGAGAGAAACCTGGGTGATGGGAGTCATGTAGAGGCACTCAAGGAAATAAAGGGATTTTTAAACAAAATGAGTAACACATGGGCTAGCCCTGTGGTTCGTCCCTAGCTTCATGGCAGGTGCAGAACTAAGGCAGAGGCTGCTCAAGAAGCCTGTACACGCTCAGATACAAACACAGAGGAGCAGTTTCCCAAATCAGAAACAAAGAGCTACTCGGGGCATTAAAACATACAATCAAATCCTGACTAGTGGTCTATTTCCTGCCGAGCTCTAGAGTACGCCCCATACCTAATACTTTAGCTCAACCCTTTCGTTCTCATTAGCCAGTGATAATAACACCATTACAGACCCTTCAGAGAAAACACCAACGAGGACTTAAGCGAAGGGCGTCATTTCACAATCCTAATCGTACACCAGCGGCTACTGCGTGTGTAAACCATTCGGTCCCAGGATTTCCCCCGGGTCTAGAGGCGCTTACTTGTTGATGAGCTCGTATCCCGACACGATATTGCCCAGCTGGTCGGACCCGCCCAGCTGGACGCGGCAGCCGTAACGCTGAAACAAGTAGTAGAAATCGTAGGCCTGGAGCACCTGGTACAGGAACTCGGACAGGCTCATGCCCTCGGCGCTCCGGAGCCGCGCCTGCACGCTCAGGCGGCTCAGCAGCGTGCCCATGCGGAAGTGGCCGCCCACCGCCGCCAGGAAGTCCACCAGGTGCTGCTGCTGGTGCCAGGCCGAGTTGTCGAGCACGGTGAAGCTGCCCCAGGCCCGCCCGTCAGGGAAGAGCCGCTGGTGATGAGCGGCCAGGGTCTCGAGCCCCCGGCGGAGGGCGCGCGCGTTGCTGCCCACGCGCTCCGCGTCCAGCGCCTCGCGCTCCTTGGTGCGGCCGCTGGGGTCTCCCAGGCGCGCCGTGGCACCTCCCACGAGCGCGATCACGTTGTGGCCGGCTCGCTGGAAGTGAAAGAGGCCCAGCAGCGTCAGCAGGTGCCCCACATGAAGCGAGTCGGCCGTGGGGTCGAAACCGCAGTAGATGGTCTGGGGAAAGTTGCCCGCGACGCTGCGGTCGAAGAGCTCTGGGAGCTCTACCTTCGTACCCTTCTCGGGGAAGAACTCCTTAAACAAACCCCGAGCCTTCTGCACCGCCAGCAACCCCTTATCGCCCGAGTGGGCCTCACGCAGCCCCAGGGACAGGACTCCCAACGGGCCCGGGGTACAAAACCACCGACCCGGAGAAATGCGCCGCAACATGGGCGCCGCCATATTGGAGGTGGGGCGAAAGGGATGCCGGGATACCCTCACGCCGTCCAGGGCCCGCCTCCGACAATTTCGTCATGAGGAGCCTCCGCGCTTTTGTGCGCATGCCCGCTGGAGTGGGGCGGGTCCCTAGGTACGGAGCTGGCGCGCTCGGCAGCCGCTGGAGTTCCCACTACCCCGGGGACGGTTCCGCTTCATGGGCAGCCACTTTAAACTCCCTAGAATTTAATTTCTTCATCTGCAGTGTGGGTGTAGGGCTGTTGTGAGGAGTAAGAAAGTATTTGGCACGTGGCGCGCTACAAGTGTTAGCTTTTGTTTAAATTTCCCCTTTAAAAAATTGTGACGCGCAGCTTCTCTGAAGTCTTGTTTGTATACAGAAACTTGTTCCCGGAGGTTGTGAGGGGTTAGGAATTGGTTTAAGTTTCTTGGAGAGAGACGGAGTTGGGGTTGAGACGCACACAAGGTCCTCACCCTGATTCCCAGGCGGAGGGGAGCGCCCCCGCCCCGGTGTTCGCCGCGCCTCCAGGAGGGGGCAGCCTTGTCCAACACACAGGCGGCGAGAGGACGTTCAGCGCGATGAATGCGGAAAGCCCTAAGTTTTATTTATTTTAAATGACAGGTAAGCAGGTGGGACATAGCTTCGGCATAAGCGGCTTCAAATTAGTAATCACATAGCCACAGCTTTGCCAGGTGCCATCGGTACTCCGCTCACTGGGGCTGGGGTTCTGCTGGCAGCTGGCTGGCGGGGAATCTGCTCCCACACCCCGCTTTAGAGTCTCATTTCTAGGACCACGTTCAAGACCAGCTGTCTTGGGTTGAGTTCCTTGGGAAGCAGACTCAAACTGGAGATTTGTGCGCAGGAAGGTTATCGGGGTGTGCTCTTGGGAATATCTGTAAGGGAGGGATGGAATCACAATAAAGCAAATCACATGAATGTTTTTGTTTCTCGGTGCATACAGGAGTTATGTTCACGCTATAGTCTCTAAAAAACGATGTACATACTTGTATTTATTATTGCTAAAAAAAAAAAACACTAACCATTATCTGAGCCTTCAGTGAGTTATGTTTTCATTGGTGGAGGGTCTTCCCTTCGCTCTGTAAAAAACGCATTTGTGAAGCACAATAAAATGAGGTCTGCCTCTAAGAGTATTCGAAAGGCACAAAAAGAGTCAGCATTAACAGTCTTAGCTAGTCTCTCACAGCTGGTGCCCAACAGTTTAAAGGCAGGCAGTCCCAGGTAATTCCGGAGCGTTCATCAGTGGCACGTTACAGCAGAGGCCTGGCTGGGCTGAAATGTGAGTTGCCTAAAGGTCACAGCGAAATGACTGCAAGAGGAGCAAGAGGAATTCTGATCATTATAATCACTATAAAATACTATTTCCCACTTGTGTTTTCTCTTCTCTGGGAGACTGGAGGTCTGGGTTTCTTCTGGAAGATAAGTGAGGACATAGGACTCAGAAGGAAGTGGATCAGAACAAAGAATAGAAGTTGCAGTTCATTTCAGAGATTTAGGGGTAGCCTTTCTTCCAATTGAAGTATTTCCAGGATATTCCTATTTCCTACTACTTGGGAAAACTTCTAAAAGCTGGCTTCAATCCTTTGTTGTCAATAAATCAATCTGCCTCATAATTTCATCCTTTCTCGTGGGTTCGCTGTTGCCATTATTCTTGAAACTCACACCGTAAATCCCACAAAACCCTCCCACCCTGCCCACCCTACCTGCAAGCTAATTGCTTCCCTTTCATTCCAAACAAATTCCTTCCAGGAAGTTTCCTCTGCATTTGGTGGGACAAGAGAAAAATGCTCTCACTACCCAGGTTCATCCTACCCCTAAAATGTCTTAAGATGTGAGAGCAATAATGCTTATCATCCTCACAAAAAGGAAAAGGCCATTACATTTGGTTGAAAGCATAATTTTAGCCCGGCCGGCATGGCTCAGTGGTTGAGCATCAACCTATCATCCAGGTGGGGGGCGTGCAGGAGGCCGCTGATCAACGACTCTCTCATCCTTGATGTTTCTCTCTCTCTCCCCCTCTCCCTTCCTCTCTCTGAGATCAATAAAGACACCCCCCCCAAAAGTATAATTTTATGTAAGTAAAGTGCCTTAAAGCCTAGTCTATGCCCTTTTCTTAAAGTGGCTCTAATGCTTTTTGAACTGGTGATCATCTTAATACTCAACCATTTTTTTAGAAGAGATTAATTTCTTTTAAAGCTGTTGGCTATAGGAGGATACTGACCAAAAATAGTTACTAAATGTGCATTTCCTTTCTGTCTTGCAGTTCAGAGAAGGGTAAACACCTGCTCTTATTTTCGTTTAAGCTGATTTTGACTTAACTATATGCACCTGGTCACGTCCTCGCACATCTGAGTATTTGATATTTATGAGATATTTATGGCATTGTTTTTCTGTCCTTTATCTTTCCCCTTCCATTCTATCCACTTAAGCTAGTAGTAAGCTGTGTGTGTCAGTGCCTGGGGGACAACAGGGAGGAATGCAGAGTAAACCTGGAATTTTTTGTGGCTTTTATTTCACAATGTTAAAAACCTAGAGGCAGGATAGAGTATGAGGAAATAAGCTTGGAGAAGCAGAAGAAAAAGAGACAGGGTGGTCCTTATTAAAGAGGAACCCCAACCTGGGCAAGAGAGCCTGGGCTGTTGGCCCCATTTGCAAGAGGAGCTGTGCATTGCCCCCTGGCTGCAAAGCAATGGTCTCCTAGGACACTTCAGGCCTGGGGTTCCCAGCCTTACCTAAGGCTCCTCTGCTCCATGGCACGCAGGGAAATGAATGCCTGAGTGCCAGCAGGAGGCCTCGGAGAACCACTGCGGCCTTGGCCTACAAGGATGGTTAGAGTGACCAGAGAGATTGGAAATGAGAGAGATTATTTCCTGGGCATCATGTAAAATGATGAAATTTTAGTTAAAATTTTGGGAGGAAGGAGTCCAGTAATGATGGAAGCAATCTTCTACCATTATTGTGGGTTAAGGACTGAGAAGTTTGCTCATTCATTGAAGAAATACTTACTGTAAGTATTTGATGAGTCAGCCACTGTTCGAATGGCTTAGGACACATTCGTGAACCGAAGGAAGGTCTCTGACCTCACAGAGATGGAATTATTGTGTGAAGTCATATTTTTTTTAGCAGTCCTGTCCCTGACCTCATGGAGATGGAATTGTTCCATGAAGTTACATTTTTCTTAGCAGTCCTGTCCCTGACCTCATGGAGATGGAATTGTTCCATGAAGTTGCATTTTTCTTAGCAGTCCTGTCCCTGACCTCATGGAGATGGAATTGTTCCATGAAGTTGCATTTTTCTTAGCAGTCCTGTCCCTGACCTCATGGAGATGGAATTGTTCCATGAAGTTGCATTTTTCTTAGCAGTCCTGTCCCTGACCTCATGGAGATGGAATTGTTCCATGAAGTTGCATTTTTCTTAGCAGTCCTGTCCCTGACCTCATGGAGATGGAATTGTTCCATGAAGTTGCATTTTTCTTAGCAGTCCTGTCCCTGACCTCATGGAGATGGAATTGTTCCATGAAGTTGCATTTTTCTTAGCAGTCCTGTCCTTCACCAACTTCCTCTTTCTGACCCAGGGTCCTTTTCCATTCCCCACCTCCCCCAAGCCTTGGAGCAGAGACAGGGAATGACTCCAAGGCAGTTGCTGAGGGACCTGTAGGTTAGGGTGGGCTGTGGGAAAGAAACATTGTAGGGATGTGCCAAGGGAAGGAAGCCCCTTCCCGAATAGACAGAGTTAAAGGGATCCTGGGCCATCGAATTAGAACAGTTCTTCCCCTTCAGTCTGCAGTTGTGTCTTCCTTCGCAAGGGCTGCACTGCTTTTTGCTCTCTCAAGTAACTGAATGTTTTTCCTCAAATAACCCTCCTCTTGCTCTGAGTTTGGTGAGAGCTGGTGTCCCCCACACCAACAGTTGGTTTCCGACTCTTTGCTAGGGTCATGCTTCGGGGTGATTGGCAAGCCCCAGGAGTGGTTGATCTGTTTGCTAATGTGATGACAAAAGTGGGCTTGTCTCCTAGAAACAGAACCTTGGAGACCCCAGTTGTCATTGTATTTTGTAGAGCTTAGTTCAAAAGGATAATGTCTTCAGACAAGATAATTTTGGAATTTCTCTATTTCTCAAACTGCCTTAGTAATTTCCTCATCTCTCTGACATAGTGTATAAGTGAATCCATCATCTCATCATTGCCCTTCCATCAAGGCGAACTGAATGTATAACTCCACTGGAGAAGTGAAACAGGCAACCCGTCTAGGTTTTGTAGAGCACTTCCATTTCAATTCCACCTACTTTTGTCTTTCTCTTTTCAGTATCTTTAACACAGACTTTATGCACTTGTGTTGTAAGCTCTGTATGCTCAGTTATCTAATGGGAAACAAGTCTGGAAACACCTCTGTAACCGCTCTTCTATGACATTATAATAGGAATAAATACCTTGCATTTACTTGCCCCAAACAGAAAAGTCAGACATTACTTCCTTCATCCTCATAACAACAAAATGTGGTTCTGTGCTGTGGCAGGAAGAGCTCTGGTCCAGGACTCATGGGCCCAGGTGGTGTCACTCAGGGCCTTAGTGTCCTCATTTTACAGGTTAAGGGCCCAGATTAGGTTATTTCTAAAGTCTCCCTCAGCTTTAAAATTCTGAGATTTTTTTTTTTTTTGCTAATACATTAGTCAAAGGTCACATTTATTGTTTCTTTATCTTTATTATTTAAACTGCCACACTAGAGAGGGGGTTATAAGTGTTTTAGTGTTTGAAGTGACTGGATTCGGAGGCAGCAGAGACTGATCTTAGAAAACTAGAGATGTTAGAAGATCTAAAGCATATCTTTACACAGATAGGTCAGTGATACTCAGACAAGGGGTTGGGTAGCCTTGCAGAATAAAAGATCCACAGGGAGACCCTTGGTAATGCCCCGCAGCCGGTATCCAGGGAAGAGAAGGAGATGCAGCTTTCTGACTTGGATACATCCATGGTGAGAACTGGCAAGGTGACC